TGCACACTTCAACTTCACCTATAAGATGACTACTAGTTCCTTGCAAACGTATTTAGGCATGAGTACAACTTCCTATTCTTATAATCAAAATTGTCTCATTAGATTATTGGCTAACCAATACAGCGAGCTCCAGCAACTTCATAACTCTGACAGTTTATTAATGCACCAGAAGTTGTGTGCCTTGAACAATCTAACAGTGATTCCTCTGATCCTGAACAAGATAAGGCTCCGATCACAAATGAAGGATTGTCACTGACACTGAAATAATTGTTAGTAAAAGGTTGTGATCCTGTAAAATAATAACAAGAGTATAATAATAATATTAAGTTAGCATTATAACTATTATTTTTACCAAAAGGTTGTAGTCCTAATTGATAGCATACCACATTACTGTCACTAGAGTCCCATTGGTTATCACATACTGATCCCCATGCATTATTGTAGCATATTTGTACATTGCCTTCATTCAATACATCACCTCCAACAAGTCTAACATCACCATTAGTACAATTAACATACTGTGTATTATTAGCTGGAAAAGAATTTAAATTAAAAGCTATACTATCACTTTTACTTACGCATGCAGAATACTGATGCATCAGTGCCTTGTGAACAATCAAGTCCATATGTATTGCCACTTGTATGATACATACACTTCCATATGTTTGCTTCATCTCCAGTACAGTTTAGTTTATAGATGCCAATTGGCCACTCATAATCAATAAACATCCCACGAGTAGCCACTGCACCTGTATATCCAACCATACTTATGTTTAGGCCTTTCACAATTTGGATTTAATTTACCATAATGTGAGTATCCTAGCTGAGAGCAAATCACAGTAGCTTCTTTGTCAGTCCAATAGCTAGCACAGATTGTAGTCCATATGTTATTAATACACACTTCAACTCTTCCCCTTAGGACAGCATCATCACCTAATCTAATCTCACCATTAGTACAATTACCTATAAATAAAAGAATGATATTAATAATAAAGTGTATTTTACTTACGTTCACAGGTGACCCCAGCATCATTATGATGAGAACAAATAGTGGCATCACATGATCTTGTCCTACACTCTATTAATGATTCCTCATTACCAGTACAATCAACACTAGCCATCAGTATTGGACCAACTCCTGGACCAAAATGATCACTACCAGATCTTGCTCTTCCACCTATAATGATTGAATATTGAATTTAATCATACTATTATACAAACCTATTGGTAAATATCCTAATTGTTTACAGACTACATTAGCATCAGTATTACTCCAGCCATTAGAACAGACAGTACCCCATGCTTCATTAATACACACTTCAACTCTTCCTTCATGAGGACCACTACCATTAACCAATCTTATCTCACCATCAGTGCAATTAGATTGCTGCACAGTTTCTATAAATATAATCATCATTACCTAAAATATATTTTGTAATATAAATACTTTGACAAATTAAGCCAGCATCATTATGTGACTTGCAGTTATATAAATATGGACTACTGTGTGTACAGTTAAAAATATGTTGTTCTGAGCCTGTACAACCAAGATTAGTAATACCAAATGACAGTTGTCCCTCAGTATAGCAATGGTATGTTGGCATAGCACCTATAATGATATTAATAATTAGTATACTGGTAATCTAAATGTATTAACCATATGAAGAGTATCCAAGTTGTCTACAAGCCACTGCAGCATCATTAAAGTCCCATGTTTGATCACACAGTGTAGTCCATGTTCTCTCAACACACAGTTCAACACGACCAGCATATGTCACTGATGATCCACTCAGTCTTACATCACCATTACTACAGGATCCTGTTATAATTAATTAAAGGTGACAAATATGTTCATTTTATAATGTTTACCTAAACATACAACACCTGCTGTGTTAGTTATACCACAATACGGTGTTCTGTAACTTCTAAAGTCTTGATTACAATCCATTAGTGAACTGTGACTACTGGAGCAATGCATATCTCCCATAACATATGGAGCTTGCCCTTGTCCATAATAACTGCCACGTAATGATACTGATCCTACAATAAAATATTATAAAGGAAACGAGGATATTAAACATTACTACCGATTGTCTGATGGCCAAGCTGTTTGCAAACAACATTAGCGTCAGTTGTATCCCAGTAATGGTCACAAATAGTTCCCCACATTTGATTGTAACATATTTCAACTCTTCCTTCATACTCATTGGGACCACCAACTAATCTAACATCACCAGTTGTACATGAAGTATCAACAGTGGCATCATTGACTTCAATAGACATTATAACTCACTTATAACATCAGCAACTTACTCTGACATATCACATGTGCAGCATAATAGCAATTTTGTTCAGTATTATTAAATGGACATTCCCAAATACTTAATTCAGTTCCAGTACAATTTAAATGATAAAAATGTATAGGGTGGTCATGATAAGAGTCATAATATCTATCCAGATTATGTAAAACACCTGCCAGTAAGGGAAGTAGATCTATACTTAAAAACATATTAAGCACTATCTACCATAACGTGAGAATCCTAATTGAGCACAAGCTACACTAGCATCAGCATCATCAAAGCCATTGCTACAGACAGTCCCCCAAACACCATTTACACATACATGAATTACACCAATAGAGCTATATCCTGAACCTGAGAGTTTAATGTCACCATGAAGGCACCTATCTGTAAGAATGTAATTCAAGTTTAAGTACAGCTTATATTACCATGACAAGTTACTCCTGAATATTTATAGCCATAAAAGGATGTACTGCTGTAACAACCAATAACTTCTTTTGAACAATTCAACAAAGAGTCTGTGATGGTAGAACATGAGAACTCAAAAGGAAACAATGGAATTCCTGGTAAATCCAAAAATGAACTAGAATGTCTTGTAGCACCTATAATAAGCATATTTGGGAATAAATCATTACAATTAATTTGTGCTTGCTTTGTGAATGACCCAATGAGTTACAAACAGTTCCAGAAACATAGTAATTATTATAATTAGCACATATTCCAAACCAAATATGATTGTAACACAATTCAAGTCTTCCCTCCATTTTGCTTGTTCCATTTGATAATTGTATCTGACCATTAGCACAATCAGAATACTCCACAACAAAACCTGTGTATTTTAAATGTAATAATAATAATAATAATACTTGTAAAAAATACCATGACAGGCAACTGATACATCAGTGTTTACAGTGCAGGATTCCTGTCCTTGTGTACTTGAGGGGCAATCCCATATACTCTCTTCATTACCAGTACAATTAAGATTAACAATGTGAAGGGGAATGTCATTATCATAATCGAGTTT